CTAACAGCCTACCGGCTGTTAGAAATTGTGGGAGTTGAAGTCCAAAACACCTGGAGGGCCAAAGTTGGCCCCTGCCTGCTCTGAAGCATCTCTAGCATAGTATTGGGCCATTTGTGACCTCACCTGGTGTTGGAATTCAACCCCATGCTGCTCAAGTCTGCAGTCCTCAATGAGGATAAGTTAGTTAACATTAGATCTCAATTCAAGGTGTATTTTTCTCATTTCCAGTTTCAGATGTCTTACATTTCACAGTCGTCGAGCTATTCTGGAAATATGCAATCTCTTTTATTATTAGAGGTATACCTTTTCCAATTAAATAATTCACTGATATCTGTATTTTTTTCCAGTGAAGCAATAATGACTAACGATTCCCAATTTGCCAGCTTTCGATCAAACAAAGCCGTGTCGCACGCTGAACAATTGCATTTCAACTTGCAACATCTTCATTGTTTTGTGGGACATTTTTCAGTTATTCGTCTTCCAAGAACAATTCTCCGATTCACTTTTAACTAGACTCTGGGCTAGAGAAGAAGGAATAGAAAAAACAATATTAAACCAGATTTTTAGGTCCTAACATTCACCATTTTAATTTATACTAGCCGTCCCCTGCCACATGTTGCTGTGTCCCAGTCTGTGTATATGTGTTTTGTGTGTGTATATATTTGTGTTTACGTATATACTTGAGTATAAGCCAACCCGAATATAAGCCGAGGCACCTAATTTTACCACAAAAAAACATGAAAACGGATTGACTCGAGTATAAGCCGAGGGTTTTATTTGTTTATCGTGTGATCAGCATCCATACCATTTTATTACATTTCTAACAACAAAACAAACAGATTTTAAAAAAAACAACAACAACACAGATTTTGCAAACTTGGTAGTTGATTAGATGTCCTTTGACCAGTATCTGTCCCCTTGGAGTGCCTCTGGTGTTGCCGCAAGAAGGTCCTCCATGGTGCATGTGGTAGGGCTCAGGGTGCATTGCAGCAGGTGGTCAGTGGTTTGCTCTTCTCCA